CCATGGGGTCAAATGCCCTTAACAAACATCTCACTCAGCAACAGAAAGGTGGGGCTCGATTGTGGCCGTAAGTCGAGGATAACTTCCTGACAGTGAGAACAATTAACCGGTGGCACAACCTGCCTCCAGAAGCGTTGAATGCTCCAACACTGGAAGTGTTTAAGAAGAGACTGGACAGCTTAAAGTATGTTAATATTTGTTTGTATTATGTTTGGGTAGTTTTATTTAGATTTGGGATGTTATGTGATTATTCCTGTACTCAGTTCTGGGAAGTCCGGGGGGGGGGAAGGGGATGAAGGGGTAAAATTATATAAAATCTGATGTATTTATATGTTATAAATAATGTAATGGTTTTTCCCTTTTTGAGAAGAGGAGATGATCGGCTAGTACCCCTAAACTGCATCCGAAGGAGGTGGAAAAGAAGGTGATGGGATGTGTAGGATAGTTGGAAAGGAGGAAGGAGGAGAGAGGTGTGGGCAGGAGGGGAGGAAGGAAGAGGGAAGGTAGGAAGGTTGAAGGAGTGAGGGGGGATGCAGGGGGGGGGACCGCCGATCATTTCTGAAAATATATTGACTTAGGTTTTCTTTTTGTTTTTTAATGAGATGCACCACATTTATATTTGTTTATATGTTTATTTGAAAATTAATACAAATCTGCAAAAGAAGAGGAGACCGGACAGCCATTTGTCCGACATGGTGTAGGGTGTCCTGCCTGAGCAGGGGGTTGGACTAGATGACCTCCAAAGTCCCTTCCAACTTTATTATTATTATTATTATTATTATTATTATTATTATTATTATTATTATTATTATTATTATTATTATTATAAGCTGTAAGGGGGGGAAGAGGGGGTTCCTCGAGAGACAAAAACGTGACAATGAGAGGAGCTGCCTTTCTGCTCCAGCGACCCAGGGAGGGAAGGGCAGGAGAAGGGAGGGCAGATCCCACGTTTCTCCGGACCGCCCTGGCCCTTCGGACGGAGGGGGAAAAGGGGTCAGGCTGCCCCGCAGCAGCCCAAAGACCAAAAACCCCAGGAGAGCCGCTTTCTCCAACGAGACGGGAGCTTCAGCCTTGGAGCGAAGACGGCCATTTCCCCGCCATTGCTGGGGCCGCGAAGCGATTCAGCTCCGCTTCCCCGGCCTGAATCTCCTGGGGGAGGCCGCTGCCGGGGGAGGAGGAGACCCGTCTGGGCCGAAAGGCGCAGCAAGGCAGACCGCCGCCGCCGCCGCCATTTTCCCGACCCCGCGATTTCTGGGTGGCCTCCCATCCTTCCGCGGTCCCCCCCCGGCCCGGCTTCTCCTCGGCCTAGGGCGGAGCCGCCACGAAGGCGCCTCCAGTCGCCGCTCCGCCCTCAGGCCCCGCAGGAACAAAGGAGGAGGAGGCGGCGGCGGCAGGCGGGAGACCCGCCACGGCCCGAAGCGGCGCAGCGGCGACAAGGCCTCCCCGCCTCAGAGCCCTCCCCCCCCTCCCTCCGCGGCCGGAGGGTCCCGCGGCCTCGAGGCGTTTCCGGTATGTGTGGGGGGGAGGGAGGGGTCGCGCGGCAGGAGCACCACGTGACGGGGGAGGTGGGCCATGGCCGTTGGTCGGCCTCGTGGGGGAGGGGAGGGGGAGGCGGCGGGGGAGACCCTCCCTCGCCCCCGCTTCTCCCGGGCCGCGGCTGGACCTGGCGGGAAGCCGGCTGGGGAGCCCCACGGAGGAGGGCGGCTTTCCCTGCTTGGTGGTGGTGGGAGGGTCCCCAAAGTCTGGGCGCCCCCCCTCCCCGGTCAACGGGGAGACCCGCCCGGCAGGGGTCTCCGGGTGGGGATGATGCCCCCCCTATTCGCCTCCGAGGCTTTGGGCTGGCGCCCCCCCCCACTCTCCCTCCCTTGAGCTGCTACCTTGTAGTCCTCGCCTTTGCAACCGTTCGTTTAGTGACCGCTCCAAGTTACAACGGCGCTGGAAAAAAAGCGACTTGGGACCCTTGTTCACCGTCACCGCCTTTGCAGCAACAGCAACAGGGACGCCCATGGTCGTGTGTGATCGAAACCCAGAGGCTTGCCCACTGGTTCACATTTATGACCGTTGCTGCTGCGTTCCCAAGATCACAGGATCCCCTTTGGCGATCCTGTGATTCCCAAGATCCTGATGAGCAAAGTCAATGGGGAAGCCAGATTCATCTTAACCGGGTTACCGGGGTTCTGAAAAAAAGTGATTTAGGGCTGTTTTTCACA